CCTGCCTCAGCCTCCCAAGTGCCTGGATTGCAGGTGCGGGGTTACCATACCCAGCCACTACTTTCTTTCTAAAATACATGTCAGGGAAGATTAGCAGCTTACTTTGAAATTAGATCGACTTAGTATTTGTCTAGAAAGAAATCTGGAATAATTGTTTTTAGTTTCACCATAAATATTAAAGAGAAAAACAAAAAGTTACTATAATCTCCTGAATGGTGAACAGCCGCAGCAGCTTGATACTGTTCGCTGGGGAGTTCTTGAAGCGTAGATAAATAAAACTGTGATTTTAAGTGAATTTTCATTTTTATTTGTTTTTTTAAAAATAGACTTTATTTTTGAGTGCAGTCTTAGGCTCACAGCCAACCTGAGCAGAAGGTGGAGCAGTTTCCCACCCGCTGCCCCGACGAGGGCAGCCCCAGCACCATCCCTGAGGGGACACTGCTTACACTCGGTCAGCTTGACCTGGTGGGTCAGCAAGCCCTAAAATCCGTTGTTTACCATGGGCTTTACTCTGATTGCTAACCTGGCTCTCTAGCCAAAAACCTGCACAGAAAGAAGGAGCTCATCTTCCTTTTTTAAAAGTATTTTTCATCGGAAATCTCGAAAGAGTCATAAACATGGGGCATTTCCAGGGGCTTTTGGTATTTATTTACTTTTCAGGTGGGATCTGGTTCTATAGTTCAGGCTCCTCTTGAATTCACTGTGGAGCCCAGGCTGGCTTGGAACTCACGGTGCGCCTCCTGCCTCAGCCTCCTGAGTGCTAGGATTACAGAGTGTGCCACCACACCTGGCTCCGGCACATGGTATTTAGATCTAGGTTTATAAATGTTCCTGTGATACAGCTGCCATGAAGAGGCCATGAAGAGGCCCAGAGAGCCCTTGGGGAGAGCTGGGAAAGGAGTTGGAAAATAGGTTGTGGTGACTGGGGTGGTGTGCACACCAAGCCCACCCCATCGGGCCTGTTCTAACCCCAGTTCTACCCCAGAGGAGCAGGGGTCAGAGGTAGGACTGGGGGCTGTGCTGACAGCCACAGGGTGGCGCTTGGCACCGTGCCACGGGTGCTTCCCGAGCTCACAGGTGGGGGCCATCTGTGGATGACGACGGTGCCAAGACCGGGCACACGATGCAGTGCCCTCCCCCCGTGGATGACGACGGTGCCAAGACCG